AATTCGAGGCCAGTCTGGGCAACTTTAGAGACTCTGTCTCAAAATAAAAATAAAAAGGGCTGGGGGGTGGGGTTGTGGCTCAGTGTTAAAACGCTTCCCTAGTATGTGTGAGGCACTGGGTTCTATCCTTGGCACCACATAAAATAAATAAATAAATAAATAAATAAATAAATAAACAGACAAACAAATAATAATAATAATAATAATAATAATAATAATAAGTATTGTGTCAAACTGCAACTAAAAATGGGAGACGCTGGGGAATTAGTTCAGTGGTAAAGCGCCCCTGGGTTCAATCCCCAGTATCTCCTCTTAATAGAAATGAAGAATAGAGTAGGGGAAAAACAAGGACATCTTTAAAATGAGGAGAGGATGGGGCGGACTCAGTGGTAGGGTGCAAGAGCTAGCCCATGGTTTCAGTCCCCTGGGGTGGGAGTGGGGGAAATATGGAGGGAAAGCAGAGCAATGAAAGCTGATCTTCTCTGTAGGGAGCAGGGAGCAAGGAAACCATAGGAGCAGGAGGAGCCAGGGCTAAAACCTTGGAAAGAGAAGAAGTAAAGCAGGAATGGAGAACCTTAGAAATGGGTAAGGGCTAGTGTTAGGGCCCAATGGTAGAGTACTTGCCAAGAGCATAGGGTCCTGGCTTCAACCCCCAGAACAGCAAAAAGAAGAAGAAACAAAGGGGAGGGAGCCACCAACGGTGGAACTTAAAAATAAAATACCTAGGAGGGTTGCCCTTATAAGTGGGGAGTCCATTTTGAGTTAATTCTTCTAAATGATGTGAAGTAGGATCTAACCTCATCTTTTTGCATGTGGATATCTAGTTGTCCCAATACCATTTGTTCCCAGCAATAGTGCACCCCTGTAATCTAGCTACTTGGGAGGCTGAGCTGGAGGATCACAAGTTCCAGGCCAGCTTCAGCAATTTAGCAAGATCCTGTCTCAAGATAAAAAAAATAAATACAACTGGGAGTAGTGGTGCAAGCCTGTAATCCCACCTGCTCAGGAGGCTGAGGCAGGAGGATGGCAAGTTCAATGTTAGCTTCAGCAATTTAACAAGGCCCAAAGCAATGTAGCAAGACCCCAACTCAAAATAAAAAATAAAAAGGGTTGGAGATGTGGATTGTTGATTAAGTACCCCTGGGTTCAATCCCTGCTGCCAAAATAAATAAATAAATGATAAAAATTAAAATGGACTGGAGATGTAGCTCAGTGGTAAAGCACTTTTGGGTTCAATCCTCAGTACAAAAAAAAAAAAAGACTATTCTCTCTCCTTATTGAGACATCTTGGTGGAATTGTTTTCTTAATTTTGTTTTTTTTATTATTCATTGCTAGTACAGGTTGGGTATCCCTTATCTGAAATGCTTAGGACCAGAAATGCTTCATATTTTGGAGTTTTTCAGATCTGGGGATGTTTGCATGGACTACCAGTTGAGCATCCCTAATCTAAAAATCCAAAATATAAAATACTCTGAAACCTGAAGCTCTAAAAATATCAACAAGTTGTGGGGGATTTTAGAGCACCTCAGATTTTCAGATTAGGGATACTCACACTGTGTATAGAAATGTAATTTATTTTTGTTTATAAATCTTATATCCTAAACTTCATGAATTTATTAACTGTAGTATGTGTATGTATCCTTAAGAAATTCTATATACAATATATACAAGATCATTGTATCTGAAAATAGATTTAACCTTATTTTGTGTGTGTGTGTGGTAGCAACAGGCTTTCTTGTAAGACAAAGACCCTTGTGGATTCCATACTGCTGCTTGGTCACCATTTCTAACTCCATCATGAGTTCTGAAATATTTTGTGGCATTAAGATGACTTTTAAAAAATATTATCTATGGGAGTAAAGGTGTAGCTCAGTAACTGGTAGAGCACTTGGCTAATATGTGTGAGGCCCTAGGTTCAACCCTTAGCACTGCAAAAAAATAATTGGGTCACTGTCCAGGGCTGGGATTAGGGGGAAGAAGGAAAAAAAAAATTTGAATGGTAACACCAAGAACTTTATAGGAATTACACTTCTTGTTCACCACTTGATCTAAAAGGAGATGAAGGCAAAACTAGGATGGTTAGAAAGAAAGGAACCCTTTCTGTCTGACAGATGTATTGGATTATACATGCACAAATATAGTATCTACTCTGTATTAGGCACTTAGTACATTAATCAGTAAACGATGGCCTCTTCTTAAATACCTCAATCTAGTTGAGGATGCTATTAAGTAATATATGCAGTTTGCATTGTTTAAAGTGTTCTGAATTACGTATAATCAGAATCTTTTAGAAAGTGAGAGAAACCTGCTGTCATTTTGTCAATTTTTTTCCTCCTACAGGCTGTATCCTTTAGCTAATTGTCACTTTTTTTTTTTTTTTTTTTTTTTTTTGGTACTGGGGACCAAACCCAGGGGCACTTAACCACTGAGCCACATCCTCAGCCCTTTTTTGTATTTTATTTAGAGACAGGGTCTCATTGGGTTGCTGAAGCTGGCTTTGAACTCATGATCCTCCTGTCATAGCCTCTGGAGACACTGGGATTACAGGAGTACGCCACTATTGTCACATATTTTGAGGATCCTAGTGTTCTGAACTTCTAAATGTTGTTTACAAAAATTGTGCTTTAAATGTTTATAAATATAAAATAGAGCTTTTGACCCACTGGAAAACATAATACAATATGATTGTGCTTTTTACAAGAAATTTTTTAAAAAAATATATTTATTTTTTAGTTGTAGATGGACACAATACTATCTTTATTTTATTTTATGTGTTGCTGAGGATCAAATCCAGAGCTAGGCGAGCACTCTACCACTGAGCAACAACCCCAGCCCTTTCACAAGAAAATTAATTACATAATTTATATAAAATCTAATTATTCAGAGTCTAATACTCCCACACTTAGGTGCATAATAAATTTTGCATGTTTGTTTTCCCATTTAAAAACAAATTAGGGACTTGGGGGTGTAGCTCAGTGGTAGAGGGCATATTTAGCATACGTAAGGTCCTATCCCCCAGCACCACACACACACACATTTAAAAGAAAATTATTCATGCAGTATCTCAAGTAGTGTGAACAATTTTAAAACTGTTTACAGAATGTTACCTTTCTTTAATCCTGAGACTAACTTACTCAGGCCAAAATTTCAAATAGGCTTTTTTTTTTTTTTTTTTTTTTGGTGATACCTAGATAAGAATAGTTCTTGAGAGATGGCTTCCTTGAGATGTCTTTTTTTTTCAGGTGGTTACAGTGGTGACATCATTACAGAAAGTAGCATAAGCAAAACCTCATATCTCTGTAAGGATACATCTTGAAAACTAAGGGAAAGAACACAAGAACCTGGAAAAGGGTTGATTCTTATATTAAGGACACCTCCTTCATAACCTCATAGCTTACATGGGAAGGGTCCTTAGACATTTTACCCAGGTTTGAAGCATTTGTTTTCCCTTCCCTATGGAAAGGCTGAGAAGGAAGTAGGTTTTATCTCTAAATCACAGCTGACAAGATCTCTGATTTTTAGCACTGTATATATTGTTTTACAATTCCTTTACAGTGCACCAAATCAGATGGTAGTCTGGGATTTCAAAGTCCAGGAATTAAAATTATGTATGATTTCAGTAAAAAAACAAATCCAACCAACCAAACTCCAAAACTCATGCCAAGGGTGTGAATAATTAGGAGACATTTAAAAAACTAATTAAGGGTTTATTTTTAACTAAGTTGTTTTTGTGTGTGTGTGTGGTGCTGGGGATTGAACCCAGGGCCTTGTGCATGTAAGGCAAGCACTCCACCAACTGAGCTATATCCCAGCCCTAACTAATTAATTTTTTAAAAGAATGTTATGTTTGAAAAATCAAAGAGCTTGGTTTTTTGCAGATTTTTTTCTTTTTTCTGCTATGAAACCATCTGTTATTTCTGATCCACTTGACATACACCTATATATTCAGAGAGGGAAAAAAAGCAAAATAGAAAACATTAAGTGCTTTATACAGGCCACATAAGTACACTTGAGCAAACCTTTTAGTGTCACTATTATTGAATGCCAATTAAATTGAATTAAGATATTTATTGAACATTTACTATGTACCTAAAAGAATTTCTATGAAACAGAATTTTTAAATTTTATTTTTTATTTATATATGAAGCAGAATGTATTACAATTCTTATTACACATATAGAGCACAATTTTTCATATCTCTGGTTGTATACACAATATATTCACACCAATTCGTGACTTCATACCTGTACTTTGGATAATAATGATCATCACATTCCACCCAGAAATATTTTTATACTACTTTTTTCCCTTCAATTTTCTAATCTTGTTATATAATTTTAGATCTAGAGGGGACGATGGAAACTCAAATAAGGAAACATTTATAAAAAGAATTAAAGGAATGTCATTGTAAATTCATTGATACTCTTACTTAGGCTATATACACAAACGCCTTTTTTTCTGTCTCATGGCATATTTCTAAGTTGGGGGCACAGACATCTTTTCCTAATGCATTTTTTCAATTACATTTCAATTTGAACACTTGTGAATTTAATATGAAATATTTATGAACACTCAAATGCTAGATTTATTTTCAGAAAATGCAGCATAAAATGGATGGGCTGGGGATTTAGCTCAGTGGCAGAGAATGTGCTTGGTGGGCATGAGACCCTGGATTCAATCCTAGTACCACATGCACACACACACACACACACACACACACACACAAGGATTACATAGCTGAAGTATATTATTTTTCTCCATTTGAATCTGAAGCGCCTTCAAAATTAAAATTTCCTATTTACTTGATTTTCATCACTGTTGGCATTTTGAATACTTATGTCTAGATTCTGCATTAGTTTAGAGAAGCACTATGCCCTACAGGCTTGTCTCAGTGTGACCATATCAGTGTTCTAAGTGCAAAGAGAAATAGAATAGTTAGTATTCCAAGAAGTGAGATAAAAGATCTGTATTATACAAAGCTTTTCCATTTTATTGGGAAGCAAGCAGAAGTTAACTTGGAAATTTTTTTATATATATATATATATATATATATATATATATATATATATATATGTTTTTGGAGGAAGTGTACTAGGGATTGAACCCAGAGGCACTTAACCACTAAGCCATATCCCCAACCCTTTTTTTATATTTTAGAGACAGGGTCTTACAGAGTTACTTAAGGCCTTGCTAAGTTGCTGAGGCTGGTTTTGAACACGTGATCCTCCTGCCTCAGCCTCCCAAGCTGCTGGATCTAGGCAGTTTTATAGTTTTCACTAAAATAAGTTTCCTTTAAAATGTGAACTTAGTTTATAAAGAGAGTCAGTGGGGGTGGAGCTCTAGCTCAATGATAGAATACTCTCTGCTGATCTTTCAGGGCCAGGGCACAGTACTTGGAAAGTAAATGTTTGTTTATTTATTTATATATACTAGGTACTGTATAAGAGCTTTTATATAGAAATGCTTTGTATACTTTAAAGTACTATTCAATTGAAGGGTGTTATTCCACCATCCCAGTCAAAAGTATCTGGTAAATGTTTCTCAACTGTAGTGTAGGTCTGCATGAACCCCAAGAAATTTTGTGTGATATTTAAGACAATGTTAGCCATTAGAAGTTATCTTCAATGACTCTGAGGAATGGAAAAATTAAGTCATTGAGAATTGTATATGAGGGCTACAAAACAGTCTGATCCCAGAGCATGTTCTCATGTCACTGTGAAAAGTACTGACCCAGGAAGGAGCTTGCTCTTCACTTTTTCCTCTACACAATTTTGTGATCCTACTTTAGAATTCACCATCTTTGGTTCCCTGTAAGCTAGGTAATGATTGTTTCAGGGATATTAGGGAGGTTAAAGATTTAAATATCTGGGGCTGGGGTTGTGGCTCAGTGGTAGAGTGCTCGCCTAGCATGTTTGAAGCACTGAGATTTGATCCTCAGCACCGCATAAATGTAAAATAAAGATATCATGTCCACTTAAAACTAAAAAAAATAATAAAATAAAAAAAGATTTAAATATCTTCCTATGTGTCTGTAAGATATCCTATTTGTATACTCCCTTATAATTGTAATATGAAAAAAATCGGGGCTAGGGGTGTAGCTCAGTGATAGAGCACTTACCTACCTTGCATGCTGTCCTGGGTTTGATCTCCAGTACTACCAAAACAAAAAAATCTGTACCGGAGATTTCCACAGATTTTTTTTTTTTTTTTTTTTTTTTTGAGGGGAGAGCGCATTGCTGGGGATTGAACCCAGGGCCTCACACACATCCTAGACAAGTTTGTCACTCCATCAAAAAAGGAAAAGAAATGCACTCAGTTGATTGTTGAGCTTCACCTTTGAAGATATCAGCATCTCAAAGAAAATCAGGATCAGATCTTTAGAGACTTAAGGCAAGACTAGTACTGAACAAAACAGTAAAGGAATGGTTAATCTTTGCCATCTGACTCTTTCATGCTGTTTTCACCTACTCCTCTTTCTTCTAATATCTCTAGCTCCTTCCAAATGCTTAGTTTGTGTTTATTTCTGAAGATGCCTTGACATAAGTAAGCTATTCTCTACCAATACAACTTTCTACCTGTAGAGCTTTCCTTTCCATTCCAGATGTTAGGAAGGTATCAAGTTGTCTCCCATCATTCAAATCATGCCATGTAAGTGCTTTCTACCTGAATACCTAAGAACTTTCCTTATAATAAAGGCTTCCTGATATATAGTAATACAAGTATACAAGCTCCTCACTTCTGTGGTATCCCTTATGAGCTTCCATTTTAATTTCTTAGTTTTCTTATCTTTTTTTTTAGTATCACTGTGTTGCTTTTTAAATTTTAAAATCTTTAAAATGTTTTTCTTTAGTTGTAGATGGACACAATACATTTATTTATTTATTTATTTATTTATTTATTTATTTATTTATACCGGGATTGAACTCCTCAGGGGATCACTGAGCCACATCCCCAGCCCTATTTTTCATATTTTATTAGAGACAGGATCTCACTGAGTTGCTTAGTGCCTTGCAGTTGCTGAGACTGGCTTTGAACTCACAATTCTCCTGTCTCAGCCTCCCAAGCTACTGGAATTACAGGCATGAGCCACTGTGCCCAGCTTATTTATTTGTTTTTATGTGGTGCAGAGGCTTGAACCCAGTGCCTCACACATGCTAGGTAAGCACTCTACCATTGAGCCACAACCCCAGCCCTTACCTTCTTACTTTTTAAGAAAATATATGTAGGTAATTGTCTGTCACTTACATTTATTCCAAAATGATACTATTGCTTTATATTTCTCTGGAACTGAAATAACATTTATTTAAATGGTCCTCCCTTGAGCTATTGTAATCTGGAAGCTTTTTTTTTTTTTATTTTTGTAAGTGCAGTTACCACAGATCTGTTTGACAGGAATGTTTTTCTTATTTCCAAAAACTAACTGTAAAATCTCTGTATTGTTTGATATTTGTTATGGTTTTTCAGTTTGATTATTATTATAGTAAAATCGTTTTTCAGGTCTACTAAATTTTTAAATGTTCTGAAATATGACTACTGACTTGAGATACAGTGTTGTTATTTGGCTTTTTCTATTTTTTAATCTGTACTTTCTGATACAGATGACATTATAATCCTTAAAAAGATAGAAACTACCTGTGTGGAAGACATCAAGAATAAAAAACAGAACAATAAAAAACCTACAGCTTCAAAACGGCGATCAAATGCTCATAGACAACGCAGGCAGAAAGGTAAAGTATACTAAAAATCACACATGGTAAAGAGTCTGAAATATCTGTAACTGACAAGGTAAGCAAATTCAAGAGCTTGCCATGCTGTTGTAAAGTTACATTATTTTACTTATTTTTTCTAGTCAAGGACTCATATAGGGTTGGTAAGACTCTATGCCATGTCAAATGAAATAATTTTAAAAATTTATCTAAGTTATTTCACTAAAGAAGGGCAAGATGAGATAAGTAACCATATGGGCTAAGAAATGTTTTGTACATTTCTGGTTGGTTGGTCCTTCCACATTTAGGAGGCAATGCAGGAAGGTTAAGAGCATGGTCAATAATCTGGGTACTGCAGCATCCACATTTTGTAAAAAAGAATGTTGTTGGGCAAAGACAGTTGGGGTAGAGTGTGAATAATATCCTCTGTAACACTAACCACATTGGTTGGTTCAGAGAGTGTATTTTCATATGAATATACTGCAGATTGCCATAGTAGAAAATTCTTTTTAATGATTAAGATTCTATGTGATCTAGTGAAAAGGTTGAGACCATCTAAACATTGCACATATTCTCCGAGTTGCCTACCCAGCTTCAGTATAATTCTCCTGTGAATCTTTTAAGTGGCTTAACATATTCTGAAAAAAGGAGGAATGGTTGTTATTATAAGGGCAAAGCAGCTAAGATTGGTGAGATGGTCCATTCTCATGTTCCTAGCCAAATATAAAATTGATTTTTTGAGGCTTTTGAAAATCTATATTCTTTGATTGTTTCTTAAGCTGTCTTTGTACCCAAAGCAAAGCAGATAGGTGAAGCAAATAGCCATACAATCAATACAAGGCAGCCAGTTTCTCTCTATCTCTTCTTTCTCTATTGGAGTATTCCTTCAATTAATTTCAGATACTATGTCCCAACATAGTATATGAAATAAAATTTGAGGTATTATACACAAAGAAGATTACCCTATTAGGGTAGGCAAATGGAAACAGTATGGCAAAGATTGTTCTAGAATTCAGTGAGACTCCTAGATGATATTAGACTATTGAAATATCAAAAGTTTTACAAAACCCAGTGCATAGCTTTAAAATGAGGTCATGCACAATATTTCTGAAAGACATGTTGAATTTGCTGACTAAAAATACAGAAAATAATTATTTTTCAAAGGGTGCACAAAATTCCAAAACAAGCTTGACAAAAAGGTTGATGATCAAAAATCACACGAAGAACCTTCTGGAGCAAAGTCTGGACAAAGCCCTTTAAGTAAGCAGCCTTCAATTGAGCAGGTAAATAAATACCAAGAATTAATTGATATAAAAATTCCTAAGTTTAATTATATATCTTAATATTAAGAGTTATTTTAAATTCCATTGAGAGATGGGATTGTTTCTTAGTATTGTTCCATGGTGACTTGAATACAATCTAAATTAGATTTTTGTTAGTTGAAGTTTTGCCCCTGTGTCTCTTTGTGATAAACTTTTGGGTTGTTTTGCTATTTTTGGTCAATAGAAATTTATTTTAATATTTATTTTTAATTGTAGTTGGACACAATATCTTTATTTTATTTATTTATTTTTATGTGGTGCTAAGGATTGAACCCAGGACCTCACACGTGCGAGGTGAGCGCTCTACTGCTAGGCAGTCCCTGGTCAATAGAAATTCTGAATTTATAAAATGCTAAAATATATTATTGTTAGTTATCCTATATAATCATTCTAATTTTTCTCCTCTTACAGAGTGTTTGATTTTAAGTTATAGTATAAAAAATTTTAGTAGCCTTGTAAATTAATTATAAAAACCAGAAGTGAGATGAAATAGAATATGAAATACACTCTGGAACTAACAAGTGGGACAGACTATGGTTGTATAATCCTTTACCTCAGCTTCTATAGGTAAGCTGGTCACTGGACAAGAATTTGAGAGGTGCTCCTCCAGATTTATAAGCTAACATTGGTGTTAATGTTTCAGCTTGGCCTATAAACTGATTCTTTTTATGGCGTTATGTGATCATTTAGTAAAAAATGGTGGTTCTGGCAGCTTAAACCATTTTTGTTAAATTATGTAAATGCAAACTATTTACTTATTTTGGAGAGGAACATATTGCATTTTCAAATATTTGAACGATTAATTTAAGTTGATCAAATACCTATTAGGCGCCTACTCTATGCAGCCCCCGAATGGTATTAAAGCAGCCTGCTTCAAATACCATATGTGGTAGTAGGAGAGAAAGAGAAGAAAGAAATGTAATGCCAGGCAGGATGAAATACATGTTCTAATAGGGTATATGTTCTACATTATAGAGATGCAGTAATGCATCCTGACTGGGGAGAATTCAGAAAGTCTGATGGAAGAGATGACATTTGATTTATATCTTGTAGGATGAGGAGGTTTGGGATAAAATTTGGAAAGAAGAATGAAAGCTTGGACTGGGGTTGTGGTTCAGTGGTAGAGTGCTCACCTAGCATGTATGAGGCACTGGGTTCAATCCTCAGCACCACATAAAAATAAAATAAGGATATTGTGTCCACCAAAAACTAAAAAAAAATAATTTTTTTAAAAAGCTAATATATTTTTGGGCTGGGGTTGTGGCTCAGTGGTAGCGTGCCTAGGTGCCTAGCATGGGTTCAATTCTCAGCACCACATATAAATAAATTAAATAAAGGTCCACTGAAAACTAAAAAAAAATAATTTTTTTAAAAAGCTAATATATTTTTGGGCTGGGGTTGTGGCTCAGTGGTAGCGTGCCTAGGTGCCTAGCATGGGTTCAATTCTCAGCACCACATATAAATAAATTAAATAAAGGTCCACTGAAAACTAAAAAAAAATAATTTTTTTTAAAAAAGAAGAATGAGAGCTTTTTTTGATACAGTCCATGATGCAGAAATAAACTGAATATTGTAAAACTGTTTTCAAATTGATAGTATCTTTATGTAACTCATATTTTTGAAATTAAAAAAATTATAGACAAAATACCTTTATTTCATTTATTTATTTTTATGTGGTGCTGAGGATGGAACCCAGTGCCTCACACATGCTAGGCAAGCGCTCTACCACTGAGCTACAACCCCAGCCCCAATTGGGTACTGGGGATTGAACTCAGGGACACTGGATCACTGAGCCACACCCCCAGCCCTGCTTTGTATTTATTTAGAGACAGGGTTTCACTGATTTGGTTAGTGCCTTGCTTTTGCTGAGGCTGGCTTTGAACTCAAGATCCTCCTGCCTTAGACTCCCGAGCTGCTGGGATTACAGGAGTATGCCACCATGCCTAGCTTCCAGCTCCATTTTTGAAACTTTTGAGACTGTCAGTATAGCAAAACTCATCACAAAAATACAGTAAAGAAATATAAGAAAGTTAACCATAATTATTTTACCAATAAATAGAATAATTAGTGTCTGATGGTGTGTTGCAATTCTTTCTCCTTTCCTTTTTTCTTTCTTTTTTTTTTGATCCTGGAGATTGAACCCAGGTCCTAACACAAGCTTGCCGAGTGCACTACCACATTCCCAGTTATTTCAAGACAGGGTCTCAAGTTGGCCAGGCTGTTCTCAAACTTGTGAGCCTGCTGCCTCAGCCTTCCTTGTAGTTGGGATTACAGGTGTGCATCACTGCACCCAACAATGCCTTGCAACTCTAATAAGCAAGTTATATACGTTGAAAGATTTAATCTACTAAGAATAGGATAAATAATCTACTAAATAGGATAAAATTGGATTTATTCAACATAATTCTTTTTGATAGGAAGTTTCTGCTTGCATATAAGGAAGGATAACTAATGTGTATTTCATTTTCTAAAGGTGAAACATTTATTTTGGGGGGAGTATTGGAGATTAAACCCAGGGATTCATTCATGCTTAGCATGTACTCTACCACTAAGCTATATCTTAATCCTGAAACTCTATCTATCTATCTATCTATCTATCTATCTATCTATCTATCTATCTATTTATCTATCTATATTTTTTTAGTTGTAGATGGTCATAATAGCTTTATTTATTTTTATGTGGTTCTGAGGATGGAACCCAGTGCCTCACACATGCTAGAAATGTACTCTATGGCCCCTGAAACTATTTCATATTGTAAACATTTATGAAAGGACCACAATTCCTTTGAGAAGAGTTTTCAGGAGTTAGGCCTCAATCCTATTTTTTCTGCTGAGCCACCGTGCTCCCAATACTATTCACTTAGAAGAGATACATGTGTATTTCACCCAGTCTACTTTTCAGTAGAAATGCTGGGGAGTGTCTATGGCCTTAGGCTCTAGTAAATTTTTTTTTCATGTTTTTTATGTTATTGACGCTTTCTATTCAGAATATTCTTTGTGCTGGTGCCTTCCCTACTATTTAGCAGTTGCTTTCACCTCTGGCAGTGTAATACAAGAAAGGCATAATGCCAAATCTAGGGCATGTTTTCTTTGCCAGGCAACATTTGCTAGTGGAAAGCTTGATTTCTCAGCATAACTTTATCCACTTATTTTATGTAATATCATAGAGATTTGTCAAACTTTCATTATTTCCATTTGGCTGATTCACACTATTGCCTTTTGGTTTAGAAGTTGAAAAGATAGAAAGACTGAGTCATTACCAGGTCAATTTACTTGAACAGTATTAAGCCAACCTTCTGCTTCCTTTATAGATTTCTTTCCTGCACTTTGTTTTTCTCTCTAGAATTAAGTGTTTTTATATTGAATTTATAGATTGTTTTCTTAAATGATCATCAAGCTGGCAAAAACAGTATTTGATCCTAAGGATGTATACTATGAAATGTTATTAAATATTGCCTCTCCTAAACTATAAAGTCATATGATCTTTGTTTCTTTAACAAAATATAGATCCAAAAATGGTAGGTAGAACATGATCTTGGAATATATTAAAATTCATAAAGCGACTAATTTTCCATATTTTCATTTTATTAAAGTTTTATTTGCATAATATTCTTTGTGCCAATGACAAGGGACAACAGAGCTATTCTACAAGGTAGTTCTAAAAACTAGTATATAAAAAGTAATCACAGTAGAATTTCATGAGAAATAATTGCCCATAGAAATGGTCTTAAGAAATATCATTGTGACTTAATCAAATTGTGGAGCATATGTTTCATTTGTTTTGTATAATTGGGGTCCTTTACAGAAGAAGTGCAATGACAATAATAAGACCCAGTCAGAGAGGAATCAAGGCCAATCGGAAGAAAAACAGCATCAATCAGAAGGAAATCGAGGCCACCTAGAGAGATCTCATAGCCGATCAGTGAGATCTCCTGACAAATCCAAGAGATCTCATGGTCAATCAGAGAGATCTCGTGGCCAATCAGAAAGATCTCATGAGCAATCAGAGATATCTCATGGTTGCTCAGAGGGATCTCGTGGTCGCTTGGAGAGATCCCGTGGTTGTTTGGAGAGATCTCGTGGTCGTTTGGAGAGATCTAATGGTCATTCAAAGAGATATCATGATTATTCAGAGAGATATCATGGTCAATCAGGGCGATCTTATGGCCAATCAGAGAGATATCGAAGATACTCACCAGGAGGAAGATTCAAATCATCACCAGAAACTGAGTCCGAATTTGACAGGTAAAAATACGAAGAATACTTAAGCATTAGTACATGTTAAGTGATATGGAAATGTAAAGACATGCTTTCTATTTCTATATTTTAATGGCTAAATGTGTGTTTGTTTTAACAGACATGTATTGGGACAAAGATATTAATGAAATAGAGAATATATATAATATGTAAATATATATATAATATGTAAAGATATATATAATATGTAAAGATATATATAATATGTAAAGATATATATAATATGTAAAGATATATATATATATATATATATATATAATCAATGTTCTTTCAATTTACTGATATATTGTAGCTATCATCCAGTTTCCTAGGTTGTCTCATTAAGTTGTTTTATCTAGGTCTGTTTTTCCTTGCAGAGCTCCATGTACTCAGCCTTTTCTACTGAGCCTACCCCACAATCAGAATTCAGAATATATTGACTTAGTCAGTATTCTATTCTCTTTGGATCTTCCAACCTGTGAGGCAAACTGGTCTAAAAATAACTACTATGAATTTATATAAAATCTATGCCAATAAATTTGTATCCTTCCTTTATCTTCTTCCTAAAAAGTCCTCAGAGAGTCTTAGGAGACAAATAATAGATGTGTCTTTGGACAGCTGAACTTTTCTGCTTTTCCTAAAATCAGACCATAAAAGAGGATGCCTATTTTGTACATAAATTCAATACTAACCTTCTAAGTATATTTTGAATATATTACATATATTCACTGTTGCCTTCTAAAACTATTAGCATAGGTTTGTCTATATTAGCAAAAGAATCAGAGAAATATAAATAGTTCTATGAATTTAGTTTTCAAAAACAGAAGATCTTTTTATTGCAATTTATTAGGTTATTGAATAAAAATTTAGTTTTCAAATTTTTCAGTGATTGCCTTCAGCTTGCATTGTCTATAAATGTCTAGTTAAATATTTGAGTTTATATTAAGCATTGCACAGAATTGGTGATTTCAACAAAAAATTTCTAAAATGTGTGTGAGTTATTGTGTATACATAGAATGTCTGATGCAGACATCACTTTAATGCAAAAGGTTCCATCTCACATTAGCAGTATAAACATAATTTGTGGAGCTGGAGTTGTGGCTCAGTGGTAGAACACTTGCCTAGCATGTGTGAGGCACTGGGTTCAATCCCCAGCACCACATAAAAATAAAAAACAAATAAAGGTATTGTGTCCATCCACAACTAAAAAATATCTTTAAAAAATAAACATAATTTGTTACACAAAATTAAAATGTGATTAATAGCAATGATAAGCAATCCATGTGTCTGCATTTATTAGGGATTTTCCATGTTTTATTTAACTTTACATATTCATTTTTGTTAAGTGCTATAATACTTTCATTAAGACACTGAAAATTCCCTTTACATTATCGTCCAGTGATATATTTCTATCATTTTGCAAATACATTTTATGAGCAAAGTCCTGGGTTTGATCCTCAGCATCACAAAAGAAAAAAATTTAAATACAATGAATAGGTATGTTTAATTTTTTCCTTTATCTTCTGTCATTATAATTTTTATACCCTCAAAACAAATAAATAGTCCTTAAATAGTTAAGGTTAAAGTTAACAAATTTGGAACTATTACTAAGGAATGAACACATAGAGAAAAATTAATATATATTTATAATTGGTCTTCTAAAGATTAATTCTCCTCTATAACTTTCCACTTAATATGCATATATAAGTTGACTAGATAGGTTTAATAATATATTTTAGAACTAGTTTGCTTTTGTGCTAAGTATAAAATGAAGACTTCAGTAATTTCATGTGCCATATAAAATTTCCCCTTCAAGCCAGCTTCACCAGAAAATAAAGACATGCCACAGATGCTAAATAAATTTCTGCATTAAACAAATAAGTCAACCTAGAAGCCCAATGTAGTCTTAATAAAAAGTGAGGTAGCTGGGCAAACATCTCAAATAAAATATGATTGTATACAGAATATCACTTATTTGTGAAGATTTACAAGAAATATTTCCAGTATTAAAAACTGTTAATACCCCGAATAACAACCCTTAATAGGATTTATTGTGAACAAGGTATAAATCTGGGTTTTTCCATTTTCTTTCTTTTCTGCAGAGCTGGGGATTGAACCCAGGGCCTCATATATGCTAGGCAAACACTCTACCACTGAACCACATCCCCAGCCTCCTTTTTCTTTTATTACTTATTTCTTTTGGTGGTACTGGGGATTGCACCCAGGGTTGCTTTACCACAGAGCTACGTCCTCAGACCTTTTTTTTTTACAATTTTTTTTTTTTTTAGTTTTCGGTGGACCTTTATTTTTATTTATTTATATGTGGTGCTGAGAATCAACTCACACATGCTAGGCAAGCGCTCTACCACTGAGCCACAACCCCAGCCTCAACCTTTTTATTTTGAGATAGGGTTTTACCAAGTTGCCCAGGCTACCTCAAATTTGTGAACCTCCTGCTTTGGCCTCCCAAGTCTCTGGGATTACAGGCGTGTTCCACTGTGCCAGGCTATTTATTTTTTTGAGACAGATTTTCACTATTTTTGTCAAGGATGGCCTGGCCTGGCCTCAAACACAATCCTACTGCCTCAGCCTCCCTAGTAGCTGGGATTACAGGCTATCACCACCATGCCCAGCTTTAAATTTGGATGTTTAAATCCCCTAAAATACCTGATAACAATTTCATATTTTCCCCCCTCTTTTCTGACATGGTGACTGCATTCTCAATCAATGACTTCTTTGGCTGAATTGATGGGTAAATAGAGAGAAATAGCAGAACACAGCCTATCTTTTGTGCCTGTACTAAGTAACTTACATAAAATGAATGGCAAACTCTGTATATCATTAAATTAGCTTGACCATCCCTCTGATGAAAGCTTTTCTAAGCATAGACAAGACCTTCAGAAGGAATGGGCTATTCAGTTTTGGAGTGCTTGCTATTTAAACTTCAGTAATAGGGGCTGGGAATATAACTCAGTGAGTCAGATAAGTACTTAGCATGGGCAAAGTCCTGAATTCAATCCCTAATACCAACAAAACAAAAAAACCAAAACAAAACACCCCTCCCCATCTCCAATTATAGAGTGATAACTAATATCTCCTTACCATTCAGCATCTCTTTGGATATCAATACTAGATATCATTCCAAGTAATTCCTCAAATAGTTTCAGGTCTGATTGTAATTGACAAATGAAACCTTTGATTCTCTGATCTTTAATATACTAAAAATACTGTATTTCACTTTGAAAGTAAAAGTTTTTATATTTTATTTTCCTCTTTTTTGTTCTCAAATTCGTCACTTTCACCTAGCCTCATTTGTTGCCTAATCGCCACTATTTTTCTCATTTCTTAAAAAAAAGATGCCAGTGAGAATCTGGTCTGTTTTTCTAAGGAATTGGCCTTTAAGGGGCTATAAGTAGCATGAGTGAGTGGAAGCAACTTAGGAAGTCATGACTCCATGTCCCAAATCTGTCTCAAAATATGACATTAGACAAATTAGTTAATATTGCTGGGTCTTAATTTCCTAATATAGGAAAGGAAAAACTTGAACCATATGAATTTAAAGACATATACCAACTAAAAACATTAGTTTATTAAAAATGGGTTTTTTTTCATTTTTAAAAATTGTGGTTAAAAATATAAAATGTATCATCTTAACCTGTTTTTTTTTTTCCTTTTTGGTGCTAAAGGCTCAAACTCAGGGCCTCGCACATGCTAAGCACATATTCTGCTATTGAGCAACACCACCATCCCTAATCTTAACCATTTTTAAAGGTGCAGTTCAGAAGTGTTAAGTACATTCACATGGTTTTGCAAACAGATCTCTAGAACATTTCCATCTTGGAAATCTGGAACTCCAAACACATAAAGCGATAGTTTCCTCTTGTCTCTCTTTCCCTAGCCCCTGGCAATCACCATTCTACTTTCTTTTTGTATGACTTTGACAACTTCAGATATCTCATATAAGTGGACTCATACAACAAGTGATGGGTTTATTTCACTTAGCACAATATTCTCAAGGTTCATTCATTCATGTTGTAGCATAACAGGATACTAATCATATGTTAGTTCTATTTAGAATTTTTCATATGTTTCTTGGCCATTTGTATATGAAAAGATTATCAGCATCATTAATCACAATGAAATGCAGATTAGAAGTACAATGAGATATCATCACTTTATACCACCGGATATGTATATATGAAGAAAGATGAAAGTAGAAGAGGGACTATTAGGGACAGGGAAGGGGGCTGGGGAAGAGGAGAAAGGGGAGGAAGAAAAGGGTAAAGGAAGGTTATGGACATGATCAAAGCATGATATATGCATGTATGGAAATATCAGTGTATCCCATTAATTTATACAATCAATATGTGTTAATTATAAATTGAAAATAAAAAAGCTTAGGCTTTTGAGTCAGATAAAAAAATAAAATGAGACTCTTGGAGATAGCACATAGCTGGATCTTTGTTCTTTGAATCCATTTAATCAATCTATACGTTTTAATTGGGAAATTTAATCAATATACATTTAAAGTAATTATTGATAGGGAAGGACTTACTATTGACATTTGTTACTTGTTTTGTGTGTGTCAGAGCTTTTTGTCCCTCCTTTCTTTTCTTATTGCTTTCCTTTATGTTTATGTTTTATTGATTTTTTTGTATTGCTAGTCTTTTGTTCCTTTCTAATTTTCTTTTGTGTGTATTCTAAAGAGATTTTCTTAATGGTTACCATTGCAATCATATAAAACATCTTTAAGCTATGACATTCTATTTCAAACTGATAGCAACTTAACTTTTTACATAGAAAGTATACTCCTTTATAGCTCTGCCCATTCCCACTTTATGTTATCAATGCCACAAATTGCATCTTTGCATATTGTATACTCATTAACATAACTTTATACTTTTTTTTTGTTTTGGCTGTAAATCGTATGCACCAAAAGTGTAGAAGTATGGGTTACTATATTTTTTTTTCTTATATTGTCCTTTACCAGAGAATATTTTATTTTTTATAGCT